TGATAGTACAGTAGCTAAATGTAGTTGGGAAGAGTTAGTAGTTACCGAAGTTAACAAACTTGGTTGTTAATAAATTACAAGTGACTCGAGTTTTTGCAAGCAAGTAATCGCTCAGCTGTGTCCCTGCAGGTCACCACCTAAGTCTCATCTCTTTGTGCCAGGAATCCCTGTATTAGTAACGCATCAGCGATATGGACAAAATACAGCTAGCAGACTGGCTAACCTTATATATACATGTGCATGCACGCGTGCTAACGCGCGCACAAACAGGCAATTCCATGTGTAGGTGGACTTGACCTTAAAGTATGAAATTGTGTTGTCCAGGTAAAATTATATTTCGTGTGTAATATGTGATATTACAATATACATCTAAATCAGAGTTTTGCACATATCATTTCATTACTCTGAAGGTCATATATACCCCTTATAAAGGCAGCGTTTGCATTACTGTAGCAGTCATGTCATGTCATTCTCTCTATCTCCTCCTCTCTCTTTCTCTCTATCTCCTCCTCTCTCTTTCTCACTTTCTATCTCGCTGTTTCTCTCTGACTCTCCCTCTCTGTGAGTGTCTCTCTCGCTCTCTCTCTCTCTCTCTCTCTCTCTCTCTCTCCTCTCTCGCTCTCTCTCTCTTTTTCTTCGCTCTCTGTCTCTCTCTCTCTCTCTCTCTCTCTCTCTCTCTCTCTCCTCTCTCTCTCCTCCCTCCCTGCCCTCCCTGCCTCCCTCCCTCTCGTCTCTCTCTCTCTTCTCTCTCTCTCTCTCTCTGTCTCTCTGTCTCTCTCTCTCTCTCTCTCGATCTCTTCTGCTGTCTCTGTGCTCTCTGACTGACTCTCTTCGTCTCTCACTCTCGCCTTTCTCTGTTCGCACCTCTCTCTCTCACTCCCTCTCTCTCATCTCTTCTCTGCCACGCACACAGGAGGCCGTGGGAGCAGTACTTCGGCTCGACTCAGCAGCAGATCGCTACGATGATGATCAGTGCATTCATCTGTGTCGCATCATCTGGTGGAAGCACCGGGCGATAGTTCCTCGCCGTCTAGTCCTGCGCCATTGTAAATAGCCGTATCCCGCACGCTCTTCCCGGCGGGGCGCGACGCGTCACGCTTCCCGGCGGGCGCGACGCGTCACGCTTCCCGGCGGAGACTTTCCAGAGCGCGTCGGGGGAAGGGAGGGGTCAAGCGGTGGACCGCCGGCTGGGGAATTGTCGCGGTCAGTCGTCACCGCCAGGATAGGCAATACCATTATAATCTCATCGGGTTGTGATTTCGGTGCGTCGCGGAAGAACTAGTGTCGCGTCGTTGCCGCGGAACGGGTCGCGGGGGCATGGAATGCGCTAACTCTCGGGCGATGACGACATGCACTAGCTATATTCATTACTTCTCGCGACTACAGGTGGCGTACCTGCTGTGTGGGGGGCGGGGGGGGGGGCTCGCCATCCGGTCAGTCTGTCGAGTCTGGATCGTGGCTCAGAAATAATAAGTGATATAGGAAAGACCAGCTGCGTTATTTAGGTCAGAGAAAAAGGGGTATAAAAATAAAATGGCCGAGGCGTGCTTAGGAAAGTATAATGTAAACACTCGTGCGTTTTTAGTTTTGCATTAACACAAACATTGCAAAATATCCCAAATGACCACAATCATATTTGTAAATGTTTCTGTAAACAGAAACCCACGTGTGAATTGAAGTATTATGTTAGTGAAGAGAATTATCGATCAAAAACCAAGACTAGTACTATCGCAACTATGTTCTAACATAGCTATGTTATGACAACTTATCACCCCTCTTATCTGATCTCAATATGGTGGCGGGGACTTTCCGATATGGCTTATTCTCATCGTCGTTATGACCTGAGATCGAAACACACACTCACGCGTTTGTACTCTGTCGAATTTTCAAATGTTTGTCACACGGTGGCAGCACTGCCATCGTTTTTGTACATAGGGCAGGCAACCTTCACACCTCTAAGCAGCTATACATTGGCTTTGAGGTTGCAGAGAGGTAGAAGTTCCGAGTCTTGCCAGTGGGATTAAATCAAACTATGCACGGGGGTTAGTGTGTCGACATTGCATCTATTGTACGATTTGTCGGGTGCTGTTCAGCTGCGACCTTGATTTGGCAAACTGCGCATGTTATGATTAGTAATTGAAGATTTTGTTTCATTTAGTCGGCGATTAGCTCACCTTTTACGGTTTGTGGTAGCTGTAGTACTATAGCCCGCGTACAGTTGCCGCAGGGCTATAGAACATTCTATTACGAATGCTAGGGACCAACCCGCTGACTGGCGCTGCTGCAGCGCCACCAAAAGTGTTCGTTTGAAGTTCGTAAATAATGTTTGTTCACAAGAAATACTGCAAGCAGACCATTTTAATGATAGTTAGAGGTTAAATTTTAGTAGCTGATATAACTTAAGACATATTCACTTTGGATAAGAGGCATTAATTGCCTACCACAGGCGTTTTATAGCCGCGAGTAACCGTGAATAAGTTGGTCCCTAGCATTCGTAATAGAATGTTCTAGAGCCTTGCGGCAACTGTACGCGGGCTCTATAGTACTAGAGCTAGGTTTGTGGGTGCTCAAACGTTTTAATATGCATGTGTTTTGTTCCCGCGCTCGCCCGTCCTGCGGTCAATCTAGTGAACGCGTCATGGCGTGATGACCGACATTGCTCCAGCGGGCGATCGAGGATCGTGTTTTTGCTAATATTTTTCACTTAAGCCTAGCGCAGACCTGCGATTTTTGGTTACTCGTCGCTGCAACCTACAACCGCAAGCGATCGGTTGATGTGTCACCGCGTGTGCGCACACATGCGATTTCGAAGCAATGCTAGAGCGATTTGGGAGCAATTGGGAGCGACCAGTGGCTCAAAATCAAAACAGTTTGATTTCTTGCAACTCGTCGCAAGCGACCAGAATCGCTACGGGTTGCAGTTGCACGTTCCCGCAGACGTAGCGATTTCACAGCAATTTTTACAGTGAGTCTAGAATCTCGGTCGAGTTGCATGAAAAAGTCGCAGGTCTGTGCTAGGCTTTAGCCAGTTATCGTCTGCAAGGGTTGAGTGCAATGGTCGATTGCATTAATTTTGTTATGTACTGCTGCGCTCTTGTTAGGCTTGCGACACGTTGTTCATGTTAGACGGTCGCACCGTTAGGTGTTGCAACTTTATGTGTTGTAAAAGAATATGAGAAAATATATGCAAGGAAAATTCTCGCATTTATTTTGGTCCGGACGCGGCACTCTGTCTAGACAGATCTAAGGAACGTGAAAGTATTTTATTATAAAATTGTGAGTGAATAATCAATGACAGACAGTAATTAAAGTTTGGTGATGTTAAGTAGTGATTGAGTAGTGGTTTAGACCTCAACGTGGCAATAGCAACTGTTTGAGAGTTTGTTCACACGTGTGCCTTCCAGCATGTTACTTGCTGTGGTATTATTTTGCAATTAAGTTTTGGTGCAATATTATTTGCAAGTTCTAAATGTACATGTAATGTAGCAGCTACACTACCACATGTATTGATGCAATCGGGTTGAGTGAACTATTCCTGTGTGTAAAACTTCAAATAAAGATGACATAAAGACGGTTACATAAAAATAACAACTCCAGCGCTGGGTAAAGAAGAACGATGACAATTTTGAATGAATATTTCAAGGTAATTATCATCAAAGATGTCGGAGCGTGAGGCGAATGAGCCAGTAATGAGATTCTGACAGCGTGACGGCGTCACGTGACGCGTGACGTGGCACGCCAGTTTGCTCAAGAGCTCTAAACCGGTGAATGTGCTACGCATCTAAAACAACTTCGCGGTGTTGCCATGGCTACGTGGAGCTGTTTTCTATTTTGCGGCATGGGAAGGGGTTACTCCTAGTGGCGTATGTGCTTGTTAAAATATTTTAATAAACATCGTAACATTTAAGTAAATCTCGTTTTTAGTCGATTCATGTATTTTTCGTTTTAAATAAATTAGGAGTGTTGGTAGTAGTAAGGTTACTAAGATTAGGCAGTATACTAGGTGACATGAGGATATATATGATATATAAGGGCGGTCGGCAGCAGTCTAGGGTCGAGAGCGATCACGGTTTTTACGCGCGACGAATGGTCGGGTTGTTTGCGTGTTTTTCGATAATTTTTTGAGGGGGGTTGTGAAACACTGAAAGTATGAATTTCTGGAAATGTTAGGCTCTCCTGGATCAGAAGACGAATGTTGCCGTTGGATTCGAATAAATTTTGAATGCTGGCTTAGATTTTGAAAATGGTGGCGATACAAAAACTACATCACAGCATGCCTTGGCCAGTGTTGGCTGCTAAGATTTAATATCTAGCTTGGAATCTGGTATCGACGCATGCATTTTAAACCTTAATAAAACTGGAAATATGGGTTTCTTCAGTCTTAATGGTAAAATTGCCTACATTATACGTCTCGTTTTGCCATTCCAATTGATCTAAGCAAACAATTAATTGTGCCTTACACATATATACGGCTTATAATTATATGGTGAGCAATTTTGGTATGGATAATAATTCAAATTACCCTGAAATTTTGTATTTTAACCTAGTGTAAATGCAATGCCATCGGCCAAGATTTTCAGGATGTGTTCAGTACTGTTAATTGTGCCTTTTTAATAGTATTTATGTAAAAAGAATGTATCCTTTTGTGATTATAGATCTCATAAGAGTGTGACGCGGTCATTTTCCTTCTTCTCTGCTTGCCGTCGATACGGCTTGTACGCTGCACGAATGAATTTTTTTCCCACAGACGTGTATGGATTACGTCGTTAGCTTTGTCATTACTGGTTGGTGTTTAGGGCTTAGGGGCATGACCTGTGTGCGTTCATGCCTGGAGTAATCATTCTGAATGTGTCAGGAATAGTCAGAATGTGAAGGAGTAGTCAGAATGATTACTCCAGTCCAAGGTTCGCGTATAGCACGCTACTGTGTGCGTTTAATCGAATGAGTCATTGTTTGTCATGTGTCTGCGATTACATGTGGAATACGGGAATTCCTTGCAGGTCCACAACTTGACGCACAGGCTGAAGTCGCGAACTATCTCAGGCAGATCGGAGACCAGCTAGATAAAGATCAAAAGTTGGATGAGTAAGTTTATTGAAGTTCCTGATGACAACATGTGTGAATGTGGTGCCATCTAGTGGGCAGTACTTCTCCTTTTGTCACATCTAATGTATCTTATATCGGCCGTCATCTAGCGATAGATTGGAAGGAATTGCTGGAACAACAACAAAATGGGGTCTTCAGCATATCCTAACGTAACTCCTAACCAAACCTCTGATGAACAGACTTTTGTGGCAGTCCGTGATCATTGAGTGGTCAGTGGCTCATGAGGAGTAAGTATGCGGGGTTGCAGTACGAAACTCCATTACAGCTTCAGGGGTAGAAATAAACTTTTGAACACGGAGTCCAACGACCTCCTACCCTCAAAAGAGGGAGTCCGCAGCGCAAATGAGGAGTCCGCAGTCTGAGGTTAAAAATTAAAGATATTAACAATAACGCATGTGCTTGTTTTAAGATTCATGCGGTTGCACGTCTGCCGAAATTTTCTTTGGACCATTAGCTGAAAAATACGGTAATTCCGCGAGGCCATTCTCTTGGAATGAAACTAGTATGGCAGAATTTCAGGGAGTCCACACGGACTCCTGCATACGTCAAATCAGGGAGTATCCGACAGTAAATCAGGGAGTATTTGACTCCGGACTCCCGTTAATTTCGCACCCTGCAGCTTAATAAGGCCCGTAACTCTAGTTGTGCTAGTTCGCGCGGGTGTACGCGGAATCGTGCGACGGTGTTCTCATCACGGGTTTTCCTCTCGGCAGCCTGCTTAACTCGATAGCGCCGGCGAATGCAACGAAGCAGACGTTCTACAACGCGTCGCCATGCAGCTATTCGCTGACGGCACATTCAACTGCGGGCCGCGTCGTTTTTGCCGCTCTCTACTTCGCTTACGCTCGCCTCCGTGCTGCGGGTAAGTCGCATTACGGTTTATCTCATCTATACTCGCGTCTCTGCCCTTCCTGTTAGCAGGACTTCCCTACTCTTTTCCTTCATGGCGCTCACTTGCCATCTCTCTCTCTATCTCTCTCTCTCTCGTCCGGCACGGCGTTGCTCTCACTCCTCTGCTGCTCTCTCGCACATTGCGCTTCGGGACATCTCTTCTTCTCTCGCCATCTCTCTCTCTGCTCTCTCTCTCTCTCGTTTCTCCTCTCTCTCTCCCTCCCCTCCCCTCCCTCCCTCCTCCTCTCTCTCTGCTCTCTCTTTCTCTCGCTCTCTCTCTCTCTCTCTCTCTCTCTCTCTCTCATCTCTCTTGATCTCTCTCTCTCTCTCTCCCCGCGCGGATACTCTCATCGCTCTCTCTCTCTCTTCCTCGTCTTCTCTCTGCTTTCTCTTTATTATTTTTCGTCCCCCTTCTCTCTCACTCGCTCTCTCTCTCTCTTCTCTCTTCTCTCTTGTTCTCTCTCTTTATTTTTCTCCCCCTTCTCTCTCTCTCTCTCCTTCCCCATCCTAGTCTTCCTTACTCCCTCTCTGCTTCGTGCTATACTACGTACCCTACTTTTCCTTCATGCCGCTCGCTCTTTCTCTCCATCACTCTCTCTCTCTCTCTCTCTCCTTCTGACCTCTCCCCGTCTCTTCTCTCTCGTTCTCTCTTTTTCTCTCCCCCCCCCTCTCTTTCTCTTCCTTTCCCCATTACCTAGTCTCCCTCTGTTCTTCCTGCCCGCCTTCTCTCCCCTTCCTTTCTCACAAATCCACTATCCCTCTCCCTTCCTCCCTTCATCTTCCTCCACTCCCCCTTCCTCTCTCTCTACTCCTCTTTCCTTCTACCACTGCTCACTCTTTAAGTTCTCTCAACCCAGCTCAGTGTTCTAGTACAAGGGTAGAAATTAAACTTTTGCACACGGGAGTCCTAATGGACTCCCTCAAAAAGAGGGAGTCGCCAGCAAAATGAGGGCATGTCCGCAGTCAGAGGTTCAAAATTAATAGATATTAACAATAACGCATATGCATTATTTTAAAGATTCATGCGGTCGCAACGTTTGGCCAAATTTTTTCGAACATTAGCTGAAAAAATATGGTAATTCCACGAGCGGTGTCCTGCCGAACGAAACTAGTTAGTTTAGTATGGCAGAGAATTTTCTGAGGGGGCTCACACAGACTCGCTGCATATGTCAAGATCAGGGAGTCCGACAGTAATCAGCGAGTATTTGCTCCGACTCCCGTTATTTCGCACGCTGAAGCTAGAATGTGCTTGCCTTGTGCTCAGCAACCTCCACGTGGTATTTAGTATATAGTGATACTCTGTGATTAACTTTTGACTCCTCTTTGTGTTGCGATCTGATACTTGCTGGACAAAAATGATTTTTACTCTCAACATGTCTTTGTGCATGTCTCTACTGGTAACAATGGTGAAATTACTATAAATCTGCTAGCTAGGTGGCATTAGTATTGCATTTACCGAGTGTTATCTATCTGTTCGCAGACGCTGGATCATATTCCTCTAATACAGGACTATAATTGACTGGGTTGCTTAGCTTTGTTGTGGAAAAAGATGGCCAGCTGGATCATTGGCAGAGAGGCTGGTGAGTGCATAAGCTGGTTATTAATATACATAACTTTGCTAATTAGCATCTTGTTTACGCGCAAGACGCGGACTCAGCATTTTAGCGACGGGTCAGTAAGTAAACGAAAACAGATCTTCGCTTTTGCTGCTGGAATATTGCTATCATGTCTTGCTTAAAATAGGTTGTAAAACACGAGACAAATCCTGATTTGACATTTTTTGATGTCTGTTATATATATATATCAGGGCTTAGCCCCTTACTTTTTTTTCAGGTGGGCCGCGCGCCACTTGAGTATGAGATTCAGGTGCACAAATGGCATTTTCAGGTGCGCCCGCGTTGCCTAACATTTAATTAAATAATTTATTTGTATTCTAACTATGTGGTATAATGTGTTTTGGCAGAAATAATCGCAATAAACATAACTAGATTACGAAACAAACAAGAAATGAAACAGAAACCCTGACTGAGTTAAATAAGTTTCAATATTAAAAAGGCTTTCAAAATGACTCTGCCATGTATCTTTATTAAGTAGCAGAACTCATGTCATTAAGATGTCAATCAAAACTGTCCGTTCATCATTCAATGTCAGTGTGAACTGTCATCTGAACTTCTGATGAATCAGAATCAAGTTTCTGACATGTGGGGTCAAGATCCATCAGGAGTCTGCCTCAGCTGCTGTCTATTTTGCACATCCATACACCCCTCCCCTACAGCCTCGTCCTTCTCTACAGTGCTATGCATCCCTACACCCATCCCCCTACACCCTCTCTGTCTGCTGAGTGTATTCATCCCTACACCCCCCGCTACAGCCTCTCTGTCTCTACTTGTATAATCCGCTACAACTCCTCCACCACTACACCCTCCCTTGTCTCTACAGT